GCGTCACATGGTTTGATTTGGGCTATAAAAGATTTAAAACCCTCTAATAGAATTCAAGATTCTCTGGGCTAAGACAAAGATCTTCTCTGGGCAGCCCACATTTATTTATCAAAACAATGGGGGTCATAATAGTAAAGAAAGAAATGGCTTTACCATTCAAGGACCCTGGAAGTCTTCTCAAGGACTTCACCAAGTAGGACATTAGGTTAATTTATAAGAACTAATTTATCTCCAGAAACATCTCCACCTAGGAGTGAGATGCCTGCAACTATAGTCTGTATCTAGTTAATGGAGGATAGAGCCAGGTGTCCTTAGCTGTGCCTTGTCTTGCCCTTTGAGGTCTCATGTCTTCACTCACTGTTACAGGCCTTAGTAGTGACCAGGGACTCAAAAACATGGGAAGCCAATTTAAATCCTTTAGGTGGTTAATTTAAGTTCTGCTCAGATCCACTTTGTTGCATTCTCTGTCACTAAGAACCATGTCAGATGCTGCCACTGATCCTGAAGTTCTCTGAAAGTACACACAACACAGCTACTCTGGGAGACACTTACATTGGAAGTGGCAAGTTTTAGACACAGTGCTATGCCAGATGACCCTGTCATCCTCTACTACTGCCTCTTCAGTAATGTGACATACAGCAGACTGCTCCTGCGTGAGGCTGCCCCTTCTCTACAGAAGCAGTGCTGCCTCATCCTTCTCAGGTTACCATAGGAGGCCTCTTTCCTATGCACTACTCACAGTGCTTCAGACAGACACAGACAAGACTCAGCCAGGCCATCCTATGCCAACTTACGGATTTTGTCTTAGGTAAAGCAAGATAAGTGAAGAATGAGTAACCCTGAGAGTGCTAGGTAGTGATAGGTAGTCAGAGGGCTGCTGAAGAGCGTCAAAGAACAGAAAAGCACTAGGGACAAAGGAAATATGCAGGAGAGTCCCAGAGAGCTGCAGACACTGCTAGAGGTCCTACAGAAATTGGCTACACAGGTCTCTAAGCTCTGATTGCTAAGAAGCTGATAGTGCCTGGGAGCTACAACCCTCAGAGCTGTGTAGATGCAAGAGCCAGGGATGCTGGTACTTAAAACTCAGGCAATGACACTAAGGGCCAGGATTTACTGTCATTTAATTTATTTTTTTGAAACAATACAAAGCAGAAAAAAAAAGCATTTGGAATGATACAAAATGTCATTAAACAAAGTAACAGAAATTCAACAATGGTTGATCTATTGCATGATGTTATCTTCAAATTAGTTGTTTAGGTTACCAGATAGAAACCTGCAAATTTGATTGAAAAACAAAAAATAATAAGTTATAAGAAAATAAAAAGCAATAATAAAAACAAAAAAATTGTAAGCATTAACTGCTCTTTTTCAAAAGGCCAGCAGAAATCAGCAGTACAATTATCCAAACTATCCTGCATATATATATACATAAACATATTTTTCCCTTGCTTTTTTTGTCCTTTCCTTCATTTCAGTTTTTTTCCATCCCATTGAACAGATTATTTTCCTTTGACAGTATGTATTGTACCTCCCCAATTTTATTACTCTTTCAGGTTCTCACACTAGCGAAACAACAAATGTTTGCACCTGTGGGTCTGACTTATTTCACTTATCAATATAGTCTCTAGTTCATTCATTTATCTACAAAAGCCTCAATTTGTCTTTTTGTTGCTATGTAATGTTCTGTTGTGTAAAAATTCCATATCTTTTTTATCTATTCCCCAGTAGAGGGCATTTGTGTTATTTCCAAGATTTAGCTATGATAAATTGTGCTGCTATAAACATGTGTGCACATGAGTCACTGTTGTATGATGATTTCAGTTCTTTTGGAGAAATACCATGGAGGGGATTATCTGGGTAGAATGAGACTTCCAATGCTACCTTTTTAAGGAATCTCCACACTGATTTCCATATGGTGGTACCAGCCTGCACTCCTACCAATAGTGGTGAAGGGTTCATTTTCCCCACAGCCTCTCCAGCATTTGTTGTTGGTGGACTTCTGGATGATAGCACTCTTTTCAGTGTTGCTTTAATTTTCAGCTCTTGAATGACCAGTGATGTTGCACATTTTTTCATCTATTTGTCATCTTTAGCTCTCCATTTGTGAAGTGTATATTCATCTCAGATGCCTACTTTTGGGTTGGGTCCTTGAATTCTAGAGGCCTGACCTTTTAAACTTATTTATATGTTCTAGATATGAGTCCCTTGTTTGAGAGACAGTCAGCTATAGTTTTTCCCAATTCATGGGTTTTCTTTATACTCAGTGATTATTTTGCAATGCAGAAACTTTTCAAAAAGATGAGACCCCAGTTGTTGATTTTTGAGGTATTTCCCATGCAGCTTGGTTTTGTTTATGAACACTACCCCTTTGTCTTTAAGATTTCTATTTTCTTCTCCAGAAGATTTAGTGTTTCAGTTTTAATATTTAAATCTTTGATCCATTTTGATTTTAGTATTGTGCATGGTGATAGGCATGGGTCTATTTCTAGCCTTTGGCATGAAAGTCTACTGGCATTTAAAGTCCTGAGCCACTAACATAAAATGAGCTGCACTGTGCCAATGCATGATTTCTATCTGAATTGAGAAAAAAGAAGCTTCAGCTAGTTTGTGACAGCACTCTGACCTCTGCTTCCTCTTATTCTGACCAATTCTGTTGCATTGATCTTTTATTATATTAACTTGAATTTAATTGTATCTGAAAGTTTCTTTTGCTGCACAAGGTATATATAGTCACCACTTTCTAGGTTGAGAACATGCACTTCATGGCATTATTATACCTACCACAGTGGGAAAAGCCCTCAGTGACCCATAAGATCTAAAAGAATGAGCAAAATTGGGTAGAGACAGCCTAAGGTCATAAGCAGGACCTGACCAAAATCTGACCAGATTTAAAATTTCTGGTAACAGAGCTGTGCATTTGGGTAGAGAATGGCCCTGATCTTATCTGCTGGCTAGGGCTGCTCTGAAAGACTATCAACTTGGTTTGAAAGCTGAAATAGATTGAGAGGAGTCAACAGGGAGGCTGTGTACCTTCTGTACTCTTAATAACAGGTAAGTGGGGCTGGACATGGCAATACATTCCTCTAATTTCAACATTCAGGATGCTGAGGCAGGAGGATTGCCATGATGAGGCTACCCTAGGCTACATGGTGAGTTCTAGGTGAGACTAGACTACAGAATGAGACTTCAGAAAAAAAGAAAGAAAAAAGTTATGTGGAATAGTTTTTATTGGAGATCCACATTGCATACTTCTAAGGCCATACTTCTCTTTGGTACCTTCATCAACTGAAGGCTAGAAAGAGTATACAAGAGAAAATCTGAAAGAAAAATTCTAGGCTAGATTTGTTACCTTTTGTCTTGGACATGTTATTTAACATTAGTATTAAAAGTGTTTTTTGGGGGGCTAAGGAGATGGCTCAGTTGAATAAGCACCTGATTGGCAAGTGCAAGGTCCTGAGTTCAATCCATGGTACCACCAAAAACAAACAAAAACTCTGTTTTCTTTTCTATATTCTAGCAACCTGTGGAGTTAGGGGCTTAGAAAATATATAGATGTTTACTGCATCAGTGTTGCTTGCTAAGAAGCCAAACAAGCCTAAATACTTAGTAATTGGATGAAGTAAATCAGTTTGTCCATACTATACAGTATTGTGCACCTGGCAGGGAATGAACACATCTTTATTGAAAGTGCCCAAGACATTAGATATAGACAAAATTATAAAAATTCATGTAAGTTTCATTTTTATAATTCTTGTGCATTCACAATCACATAGTCTCCATTTGTATCTGCTCAGTTTTCCAAAGTCTTTTTAGCTCAGTTTGGCATTGGACCCCTAGGAAGTGAGATGGGCAGCAAAGAGGGAACTGAAAGAGCTGTTTCCACAGAAATAGTGTTGGTTTTTTCTATAAATGTTTAATGTAAGGAAATAAACATTCCTTCTGTTGCCACACGTTGACATTCTAAAGTGTTACCTTCAGCTAGGAAGGCAGCAAGTCAACCTTCAGGAATTCAGCCACAAACGCTGGGAAATAATGTACAGCCAAGATTCAGCCAAGCAACAGAGCCAACAACCCCTGAGATTGTCACCTGCTGTGTTCCCTGAGGGGTCATCCCTGCAAACTTCCAAGTATCACCACAAGATGGCAGAAGAGGCCAAATCACCGGACAGCTCGACAGGAGTCCTGCTTGCCCCCTCCCCCCATGTTATTAAAACTGCTGCTGTAGGAATTGTTTTTAATCTCAGGAATGGTATATTAGGACCTATTAGAGTTAAATAAAGAAAGAACAAATAGACGATGCACATTAAATACACTAAGAGACCTGGTGAAAGGGAGTGGCTTATTTGTGGGACCTTGAAAAACAAGTCCACATCCATACAGCAGGCTGTAAGGAAGAGTGAGCCCAGGGAGGAGCTGACTGAAAGGTTGGACACAATAGAGACTTCGGATCCTGCCATGATAAGAGCTAGGGTTAGAATCGATTAAGTTATAGTATCCCACTGAGTTGAATAGCAAGACATGGTAACAGAGCCACCCACCCAGTGGGATCCTATGTTTATTTCTCCTCACCTCCAGTTCAGCTTTCCCTTGCTAAACAAGAACAATTGCCCTAGTGAATCCCTTCATTTCCATCTGATTCAGTAGTGTGAGGACCCCAAAGTGGTGAGGTGGCAGCCTCACTTGAAATCCAGAGGATTTTTCCTCTCCTGATGGAATCATTTCTCCTTTAAATTTTACTGGCTAGAAGTCTCAGGACCAGGGAAGGCCAGATAGCTCAGAGGATTAAAGAGCTTGCTTAGGCAAATGCAGCAGCTGGGTTTGATCCCCTGTTTGCCATGCCAGCCACACCCCCTGGGGCACGGTGAGACTGCAACTGAGATTGAGAGTGGTGGCGCATGCTTGTAATCCCAGCACTTGGGAGGCTAAAAACAGGAGAATCGCTACAAGTCTGATCTGTGCAATGAGACCCTGAAGACCCTGTACTAAATTTTAAAAAAAGTGCTCTCTTCAGCAGTGCACATACTAAAATTGGAACAATACAGAGAAGATTAGCCTCATCTCTGCTCAAGGATGACATGCAAATTTGTGAAGCATTCCATCTTTTTCGACAGCATTATTCAACAGCTGCTGGAAGTGAGAGGGTTTAAGCCAGGTAAGAATGCATAGCTACAGGAGAATGAAATAAGAGCATTGTGCTTGAAGTCTCATGAGGTCTTTCTCAGTCAGCCTATCCTACTGGAACTTGAAGCACGACTCAAAATACGTGGTGATATCCACAGGCAATACTATGATTTGCTTTGACTTTTTGAATATGGTGGTTTCTCACCAGAAAGCAACTAGCTGTTTCTTGGGCACTGTGTGGACAAGGAAAGCAGTCATTGGAGACTATCTGCCTCTTACTGGCCTCAAAAAGTCAAATATCCAGAGAATTTTTTTCTTCTCAGAGGGAGCCATAAATGTGCCAGAATTAATAAGATTTATGAAGGCCGGCCAGATAGCTCAGCAGATTAAAGTGCTTGCAAGCAGGTGCAGGGGCCAGGGGTTTGATCCCTGGGCCTGCTGTGCTGGCCCTGCCCCTGGGTTGAGCTGAGACAGCAATTGAGACTGGACATAGTGGTACCTGGCTGTAATCCCAGGTCTTTTTTTTTTTTCCCCAGAACTGAGGATTAAACTCAGAAAGAAAGAAAGAAACAATAGGATTTATGGATTTTCTGATGAATGTAAAAGAAGATACAACATTAAATTATGGAAAACTTTCACAGACTATTTTAATGTTTTACCAATAGCAGTCATCATGAATGCGAAAATATTCTGCCATCATGGAGGTTTATCACCAGATCGTCAATCTATGAAGCAGATTCGGCGAATTATGTGACCAACTGACGTACCAGATCAAGGTCTTCTTTGTGATCTTTTGTGGTCTGACCCCAATAAAGATGTCTTAGGCTGGGGTGAAAATGACAGAGGAGTATCCTTCACATTTGGGGAAGAAGTGGTTGCAAAATTTCTCCATAAGCATGATTTGGATCTTATGTGTAGAGCCCATCAGATGGTTGAAGATGGATATGAATTTTTTGCAAAGACACAGTTGGTTACTCTGTTTTTGGCACCCAGTGACTGGAGAAATTGACAATGCAGGTACCATGATGCATGTGGATGAAACATTAATATGCTCTTTTTGGATTTTAAAACCTGCAGAGAAAAAGAAGCCCAATGGCACAAGACCTGTAACACCTCCAAGGGGTATGGTCACAAAGCAAGCAAGGCAATAGATGTCACTTTGACACTGCCTATTTGGGACTTGTAACATAGAGTATGTAACCTTCAGTTTTAAAACTGTAATGTATACTGGTTGGCTTGCTCGGATAGATCAGTGTTTGTGGTGGCTCCTCCTTTTGTTTTTGTTTCCATGCATGGCATTTGCTGGTTATAACAGCAAATGAAAGGCACTCCAATCCCAATGAAAAGTATTGTTTTTAATTCTTGTTTCTTTTGCAGACAATTTTAATGACGGTGTTAAATCTACACCCCAAGACAGTTTATCCTGTCTGGGGACAGTGGGGGGGAGAGTAAGTATATAAGTTATCTTTTTAAAATTCAGAACAAGCCATGAATAATAAAAATATTCATTTTCTTTAGAATATAAAGACAGCCCTAGGGTGCTCTGAATCTGTACATGTTATTGTTATAATATGCATACTGTTGATATAAACCACTATGAACATTTTTTATTTTAGAATTTTGTTTCAAAGGGATTTCTTTTTCTTATTGTTTTGTCATGTACAAAATCATTTTCACAGCTGTCAACAGTAGACATAATCTTCAATCTTGCCAGGATTATTAGTATGATATATATTTAATTAAAGCACACTTTCCCCTACCTATGGTATACTTAAAATGATGATTAAAGCCATTCTTTTAACTGTGACTTTTCCTAAAGCAAAAGCTTCTGTTGGAATATGTATTGACACTCCCTTAAGTGCAGAGTGGCATGGCTGCTTACACATGCCACCTTCTTGGGGATTCAAAAGCATATTTTTGATTTTGATTAGCAAGTAGTAATATAGTGCTATTGAAGCTAGCATGAGTAAAGTTAATATCATTTTGTACAATTTCCATATGATCCAATTCATTAATTTTTTCTACATTTGGACCAGGCCTGAACCTGTCCGTTTAGAAAGCTTCAAATTATAGAAACAACACTGCTCTATATGAGTGACTGATTATACTTTCTTTGGTCTACATTCTTTATTCTGTGGTAAAGCTGAGGCTTATAAGTCAAAACAAAGGAACTTAACTTGCTGTCCACCAGTTTATATGGAACTTACAGTATCTATGACTTTTTTAAACTAAGATATATTAAAAAAATCTTTCTTTCTTTTTTCTTTCTTTTTGTATTTTAGGGAAGGGTCTACAGGGTGTTCAGGGACTCACTACTAGATTGGACTCATAGTGATCCATCTTACAGCCTCCCAAGAGCTGAGATTACAGGCACACACCACCATGCCCAGTCTCAGTTGCCCAGGGATCAAATCCCCAGTCCCAGCACCTGCTTGCAGGTAGTTTAATCTGCTGAGCTATTTGGCTGGTCCGGATCTGTTTCAACAGATAACCGTGTACAATAGCATGTGAAAATTCAGACTTATTAAATGATAAACTTGTTTAAAAAAGAGAAAGAAAAGAAGTCTCAGTACCAATACAAAACTTAGTAGTGGATCACTAGGAGTCATAACAAATAGATGCAATCCTGCGGTTCCAGACCCATGACACCTAGCTATGGGAGAAGAAACTACTGGAAACTAATTATGAGCTTCATGAAAAAGAAATTTTTGTGCTAATCTTGTATGGACAAGATATCATGCTGATATGTTCTACTCTAAATAACTACTTCAAGGTCAATGATATGCAATGTTTTGTATTATAACAGTCCTAATAATATATTTTGAAACTTAATTTCATTGCTGTGTTTACTTCCTTTTAAAATAAAAAAAATTAAAAAGAACATATACAGAGTCCTGGAAGACTTTGTCCACAAGGTTTTGCCAACATCTGATGTGCTGAGTCTTCTAAAAGACATTTTAGTCTGGCACAGTGACACATTATTGTAACTCCAGTTACTCTGGAGGCTGAAGCAGGAGGATTCCAAGTTCTATGCCAGCCTGAGAAATTCAGTGAGGTCCTGTCTAAGAAGAAAAAGATCTGAAGATGTAACTTGCCTGGGTTCAAACCTCAGCCCTGGGAAGAACACAGGCCATATTTACCTTCCTTGTTCATTCTGAGAAGTCTAGCCCCATCTCTCTGCCCCAGACTTCATTGTGTGTGGCTGTCCTTCTACATCTGGCCATCCAGCCCAATCACTCATCAGTTTATGGGTAAATATGGACTCGTAGCTCAGGCCACTCCCCTGCAAGACTGATAACCATGTTCAAAGTTCTGTCCACTGGGAAGATTGTCTTCATCATGGTCCTTTGAAGACATCTCAGAAAAGAGCTGTGGGCTACAGCTAACTTTAAAGTTTGTGTTTTCATATTATATAAAACCAGCCCTGGATTTATAACCAGCTCTCTCTATAGAGATTTACACCTTTGTATAAAACAGCTCTAGATTTTACTTTTTTTCAGTCTGCTCTTCAGAGGGAACTTTGCATGAGCCCATGAGTATGGGCTTGGAGAGAAAAGGGAATGTGGTAGGGAAGCCCAACTCTGGACATTTGGCCAGTTCCTCAGGTCAGTTAGCTGTGACTTTGAGGTCTGTTTAGTCCAGACTCATTTCTCTTCCACTTGACAGCAAGGTACTACTGTGTATATGCAGACAGATGACCTTGTGGGCCAGGTAGCTCCCAATTAGTAATGGGCATTTTAGGCCACACAACTTAATGACATACAGGGAAGTGTTCAGTCTCTATGGGGACCTACAGCAAGCTAAAATGGTTTCTCAAGTAGAAAAAATTATGTGCAGGGGCCAGGAAAACTGACTGCAAAAGCCTAAGGATCTGTGCTATGATTCAGCTATGGAGCTGGCCAGTAGCTCACCAACACTGTAATTACTAAGTGAATCTGTTGAATCATATGCCCAGTGGCAGAGTAGTTTGCATGGCAACTGGCCTGTTGCAGAGATTTCTTTTGCTGTGGGCCTCACCCAAAACTCAGCTTTTGAGTCACTTAGTAAATGGGTTGAAATTGAACCTAAATATGCTCCCACTTTTATAGAATTACAGAGGGATAAGTATAAGATTTTTTTTTTCTGTGCTTTAGGGAAGGATCTACAGGGTGTTCAAGGATGCCTTTCATTCTCTTACTGTACTTGCTCTTCATCTGAATTTTCCCACAACTCTGTCCTTACTCTCCCCTTCTGACCTCTCCTAGCTTCAACCAATACGTCTACATATCGGACTGTTCCTCAGAATTTCCCTAGCTGTGCCCTGTATTTCAGCACCGATCTCACTGCTAGTTCTGACTCATAGTGATTTACCTGTTTACAGCCCTCCAGTGCTGGCATTACAGGCGTGTGACACCACACCCAATCTCAATTGCTGTCTCAATGCCCTGGGGGCCAGGGCTGGCATGGAAAGCCTGGGGATTGAAACCCTGGCGCCTGCGCCTGCTTGCAGTGCTTTAATCCACTGAGCTATCTGGCCAGCCCAGTATAAGTCTTCTGGGTACTGAGGTACAGCTGTCTGCCAACTCCAGGACCAGGCTTTCTGTTCATTCCATGACAGATAAAGCAAAGATGAGTCAAATGTGAACCATGCCTCCAAGGCAGTACAGTCTAGCAGGACAGACAAGAAATACAGATAGCAAGCAATAATGAAAAATAGGAAGTGATGAAATATATTAATACCTCCAGATGTAGCATATAGAAAATAGCAAAGAAGGCAAGAGAAATTACTGTATGGTCCTCAATAAAGAATAAAGAGCTTTCATAAATGACCTCCTTTGACTTGGTCAGTGGCAAGCAAATCAGCTTGAGGGTAGAGACCTGAGGAGGTGGTAACAAAGTATAGTGAACAGAACACGGACTGGATTTCAGTCTCACTCATACTCTGCTGTATCTTTTTGTGCTTTGGACAAAATGCCTTATCTAGATGGTAGCCTGGCAGTTAAAA